GCCCAGAAGAGGAAGAGATGAAAACCATCACAGAGAGGTGTCTCCAGGGCCGAGCTGAGGCCCTGGCCAAGGAAGTCACAAGACTGTAGCGTGGCTCCATCTTTGGGGCCCACAATTTGGATTCAGGTCCTGGCTCTGTCACTTACACAGCTCTGTGTCTCTGGCTAGTTGGTTACCTTCTCTGGTCCCCTGCTTCCTTATCTGTAAACCAGGAGATAAGGTACAGCCACTGCAGGGTGGGTAAGCAAAAGGTATCTGCATGTTGCTGATGTAACAGGCGAAGTTGACATAAAGTAAAAGTAACCATTTTAAAGTGAACAATTCAGGAGCATTTAGGACACATTCACAATGTTGCTGATGTAAGAGGTGAAGCTGAAGTAACACAACAGTAACTGTTTTAAAATGAACAATTCAAGGGTATTTAGTGTATTCAAAATGTTGCTGATGTAACAGGTGAAATTGACATAACACAAAAATAACCATTTTATTTATTTATTTATTTATTCATTTATTTATTTATTATTTTTGAGACAGAGTCTCACTCTGTCATCCAGGCTGGGGTGCAGTGGCATGATCTCCACCTCCAGCCTCCACCTCTCAGGTTTTTGTTTGTTTCTCTGTTTTGAGATGGAGTCTTACTTTGTTGCCCAGGCTAAAGCAACCTTCAACTCCTAAGTTCAAGCGATTCTCCTGCCTCAGCCTCCCGAGTAGCTGGGATTACAGATGCCCGACACCACACACAGCTAATTTTTTGTATTTTTAGTAAAGACGGGGTTTCATCATGTGTTGGCCAGGTTGATCTCGAACTCCTGACCTCGTGATCTGCCCGCCTCAGCCTCCTAAAGCACTGGGATTACAGGTGTGAGCCACCAAGCTCAGCTGACCTCTCAGGTTTAAGTGATTCTCCCACCTCGGCCTCCCGAGTAGCTGGGATTGCAGGTGCCTGCCACTACACCTGGCTAATTTTTGTATTTTAATTTTTAGTAAAGACAGGTTTCACCATATTGGCCAGGCTGGTCTTGAACTCCTGACCTCGGGTGATACCCACCCGCCTTGGCCTCCTGGAAGTGCTGGGATCACAGGCATGAGCCACCGCGCCCAGCCTGGCTTTTGTTTTGAAAGTAGGAGAGGCCTGATACTGTTTAAATCTAAAGGTAAGAGGCTGGGTCATGCCTGTAATCCCAGCATTTTGGGAAGCCGAGGCAGGAAGATTGCTTGAGCCCAGGAGTTGCAGACCAGCCTGGGAAACATGGCAAGATGCCATCTCTACAAAAAATACAAAAATTAGCCTGGTGGATGGCGTATGCCTGTAGCCCCAGCTGAGGTGGGAGAATCACTTAAGTCCAGGAGATCGAGGCTGCAGTGAGCCATGATCACGCCACTGCACTTCAGCCTGGGCGACAGAGTGAGATCCTGTCTCAAAATAAACAAACAGACACTAAAGGGAAGGATCCAATGGAGAAGAGACAGAGGTTGAATGTGTAAGACAGAGAAGAAAAACTGATAGTGAGAAATTTTTTTCTTTTTTGAGGCAGAGTTTCACTCTTTTTGCCTAGGCTGCAGTGCAATGGCGCGATCTCGGCTCACTGAAACCTCTGCCTCCCAGGTTCATGCGATTCTCCTGTCTCAACCTCCCAAGTAGCTGGGATTATAGGCATATGCCACCACGCCCAGCTAATTTTGTATTTTTACTAGAGACGGGGTTTCACCATGTTGGCCAGGCTGGTCTTGAACTCCTGACCTCAAGTGACCCACCTGCTTCGGCCTCCCAAAGTGCTGGGATTATAGGCATGAGCCACCACCACACACGACCGATAGTGAGAAATTTCTAAGCTGAGACAGGCATCATAGGGAGACACTGCCAGTGGCTGTCATCTTATTTACGTACATGCAATTACATATATGTATGTATACAACATAGACATATTATACATGCATAATTAGTTATATATGTATGTGTATAATATAGAAACATATATACTACATACATACACATAGTAGGTAACATGTATGCATTACACATACATATAAACATATTATCCACTGTGAATGTGTATATAATATACACATATATTTTGTGGTGGTGGTTTGTTGCTTTTTCCCCACACTAGAATATACGCCCCGGGAGGGCAGGGGCCTTGCCCATCTCCCTCACTTCCGGTGGGTGGGGACTCCTTTGTGATTGGCTGCATCACAAAGTGGATGCAGTGAAAGAGTGAAGTGAAAGAGTGAAGTGAAAGTGCAGTGAAAGAGTGGAAGAGTGAAGAGATGACCTTGGTTGGAAGGCTGCCTCGGGAGTCCATCAGAAGGGGCCGCCTAAAAATATCATGGATTGAAAAAGTTCTGGGGGCGGATGGTGGTGATGTGAATGTGCTTAATGCCACTGAAGGGTGTGATTAAAAATGGTTAAGATGGTAAATTTTATGTTATATATATTTTACCATATTAAAAAAAAAATCACTGGGCCTGGTGCGGTGGCTCACGCCTGTAATCCCAGAGCTTTGGGAGGCTGAGGCAGGAGGATTGCTTGAGTCCAGGGGTTCAAGACCACCCTGGGCAACATAGTGAGACCCCCTCGTTTCTATTAAAAATTAAAAATTAGCCGGGTGTGGTGGCACCTGTCTGTAGTTCCAGCTACTCGGGAGGCTGAGGTGGGAGGATGGCTTGAACTCAGGAGGCTGAGGCTGCAGTGAGCTGTAACTGCACCACTGCACCCCAGCCTGGGCGACACAGCGAGATCCTGTCTCTAAACAAATAAACACACACAAAACTACACTGATGCCAAGAACAATTACTGCATGCTCACTATGCATTAGGCATCTTGCTAAGCTCTTTACCCCTGTCATCTCATTTGTCTCACATACTCCCCGCAAGGCAGGGTCACTAACCTATTGTATTTTACGGATTGGAGACAACCTCAGAGAGGTTAAGTCACTTGCCCAAGGTCACACAGCGAGTTTCAAGCCCCAGCCGGTGAGCATCACGATCCTTTGCCAATGAGCCGATGCTCGAGAAAGGGTCGGGTAGACAACAGGCACTACATAAAGGCTGGTTAACGGGACCGTGCTTGGCTGCGGCGTGAAGCTCCGGGCTTGGACGGCGAGACTGCTACGCGCCCCCGAGCCGCCGCGCGCCCTCCCTGCCGGGGCGGAGTCAACGCCGCGGATTGGCTGCTGAGGAAGGGGGCGTGGCTCGTGGCGGCCGGTGGGCGGGGTCGATCTCCGGCCGTAAATACAGCGCCACATGGCACTGGCTCGCGAGGGCGGGGGCGGGCTGGCGGGGCGCAGGCGCGCTGAGGGCGGGCGCCCCTCGGCCTCCGTGGCCCCTCCGGCGGCCGCGACGTCTCGCGAGAAGACGAGCGGTAGGCGGGGCTCGGGCGAGGGGGGCGGGGCCGGCGAGGGCGGCCTCTGGAGGGTCCGCTAGTCGCGGGGCGGCGGCGGCGGCTGCGGGCGCGAGGTGAGGGGCGCGAGATGAGGGGCGCGGAGGGCGGCGGGCGGCGGGCGGCGGGCTCGGGGCGCGGCCTCCTTCCCTCTCGGCCTGTGCGGGGCTGCCGGGGCCCGGGCGGTGGTCCCGGGCCGCGCTGAGGGGCGCGGGTCGGCTCTCCTTAGCCCGGCCTGGCGGGCGCGTCTTGGGTCCGGGTTCGAGTCCCCGCGCCGGCGCGCTGTGTGACCTTGGCCCTGCGCGCGCCCTCTCTGAGCCCCGCTCCTCGCCCTCGGCCGGGGGACCCCAGCCCTGGGGCCCTGATCAGCGCGTTCTGCGGCCCCTCGGGGTCTGGATGAGAAATCTGTGGTTCTGATTCAGCGACGGCAGAGGCTGCAGCGGCCTCGCCGGCCCCCAGTAGTCTCCCTGCCCGGCATCAGCCTCTGCCGCCCGGCAGGGACAGGACCGCTTCCCGGGCGTGGAGTTCCAGGATCCTCAGCCCCCGTGGGTCCCCCCGCCGTGCCTGCTGTCACCTGAACGGGGCTCCCCGGCCCCCCAGACCCCCTCCTGTGTCTGCTGTCACCTGAACGGGGCTCCCCGGCCCCCCAGACCCCCTCCTGTGTCTGCTGTCACCTGAACGGGGCTCCCTGGCCCGGCCGACCGCAGCCCTGGAGCCTGCAGACGCCAGCAGCACCGGCAGGTCGCTCAGGGTATCCCTTAAATGACCTCTTACTCCAGAAGCCGCAGCCCTGCCTCTCTGCGAGAGGAAACCGTGCATTTAGTCCGGGAACAGTGGGACTTAGACCTCCTCTGCGGGCTCCCGGCCACCGAGACACCGCCGGCAAAACCTTGGCTCGGGCAGAGGCTCCGTCTGGCAGGCAGCACAACAAGCCGTAGTGTTTCCAGCATTATTAAATTATTTAGTTCATAATCGGGGCTGTGGGGACTCGGAAACCTGGGGGTGAATAGAAATGTGGGTTGCAGGCGCAGTGCTGGATGCAGTACATCTTCCAGGACACCAGGTCCTACGGTGCTGCTCCTGGCTGTGGGTGGCTGGGGACAGCTGGGCGGGTTCCCCTCCTACCCCCACGCGGGGACACAGGTTAGCCCCTCACCGTGAGCATCTGGGGTTAGGAGTCAGGACTGGTGTCTGAGTGAGGACGGAGAGAAAACAGGGGTAACGAGGACATTGCTACACGAAAGTGCAACGCTTGAGATCTGAAGGAGCACCTGCCTGGAATGGCATAGAAGTTTTATTTCCCTGCAAAGGAGTTTATGGGACTTTGGGCTGATGCTTTGGGGCCAGCAGTAACTGTCTGCTGCCACTCAGCAGACTCCAGCTTTTTTATCAAACCTCCAATCGAGTGCAAGATGCCAAGCTGGGGTAGATGGCGATAATAGTGTGGGTCTTGCCCTAGGAGCTCACGGCCAGCCTGGCTACGACAGTGTGGGGTTGGGGCTGTGGTGCAGGCGTTAACAGAATGTGGAGACATTTTCTGACGTTTTCCACAGTGGAGAGGACCTATGAATTGGGCCTTTGGAGGCAAAGGGCATGCGGAGATATGGAAGTGAAAGCGATGTTTGGGGGAGATGGTGGGTCGCTGTGTTCTTGGGGAAGTGGGGTTTGAGGATTGGGTTGGAAGCTAAGACTGGAAGGCCAGGCAAGGTGGCTCGTGCCTGGAGGTACAAGACCGGAGGCACTTTGGCGAGCACTTTGGGAGGCTGAGGCAGGTGAATCACCTGAGGTCAGGAGTCTGAGACCAGCCTGGCCAACATGGTGAAACCCCCTCTCTACTAAAAATACAAAATTTAGCTGGGTATGGTGGTGCACACCTGAAGTCCCAGCTGCTTGGGAGGCTGAGTCAAGAGCATCGCTTGAACCCAGAGGCAGAAGTTGCAGTGAGCTGACATTGGACCACTGCACTCCAGCCTGGGCAAAAGAGTGAAAAAAAGACTGTAAAGATGGATTTCTGATTGTGCAGGGGCCTGAATGCTGTGCCAGGGAATTTAAGCTTTTATCCCTTTGGTGGTGGTTTGGGTGTGATGCGATTAGATGTGTTTCAGAAAAGTGATCCTGGTGAGAATATGAGAGGTGGGTTTTGCATCTGGGCAGTGGAGCTGAGTTGAGTAAGTTTGTGGGGCGTGGGTGTGGGACAGTGAGAGAGTGGGGGCGGGCATGGAGCTGAAAGATGGAGGTGGCGCTTTGTGAGATGTGGTGACCTGTAGCAGCAAGGGCAGCCGGGACCTCTAGCCTGCGATGAGGAGCGTTGGGGCTGGGTGGGGGAGGAAGAGCCAAACACACGTAGGTTTTAGACCTGCAGGGTTGGCAGTATTAGTGGCCATCCTGGAGATGTGACCTTGTAGAGAAGAGACAGCCTATACAAGGAGGGAATCCCCAGGAACCCCAGTGGGAAGGGATCGAGAGTTGAAGAGAGGCCTGTTGGTTGGCTGACCTTGGGCTTGCAGTTCCTTGACTACGCACAGTCACTGAGGCTGGCGAGTGATTCTCTTCTAGAGTGGGTCTGGGCCTGAAGGAGCCATCGGCGGGAAAAGATGGGTTATTGATGATACTGAAACACATGCGGTTTGTCGTTTAAAAAAAACCTTACATCTTGAGTTTCAATTCTTGAATTGTCTTTCTCTTCAGAGAGTAGCTGTTAGTTTCATACCTACTTAGTGGGTCTGTGGCTGCCAGCAGGGCTGTAGGCCCGCAGATGTGCCTGGAGATAATTGACTCTCCAACTTATTACTTCCTGCTGTTAACCAAGGTGGTGGTTTCTGTAACTGTTTAGACACTTTAAAGATATTTCAGAGAAGAATGGGAAACAGGTACAGTTGAGTACGGGGTAGGGGCACAGTTGAGTATGGGGTGGGGGCACAGTTGAGTACGGGGTGGGGGTGCGGTGCTGTACAGGGCACAGGAGGAGGAAGCGAACAGGGCCCCTTTGGCTCCCAGAACATGACCAGCTGGGGCTTTTCCCTCTGGACAGGAGGATGGATGTGTCTTTGAGGAATCTGAGTGGCCCAAGAGAAAAGACTGAAATTAATGACATCAGGAGGTCCCCAGTCAGCAGGCCCAGCTGGATCCCTTGCTAACGAATTAATAACCCCCTCCCAGTGTTCAAGGCATCAAGCTTCAAAAATCCCCATCCCTTAAATATGAGCAGATAACCAAGGGCATCTGAAGAAAACCTCTGCTACACGAAATTGAGACCGGAATACACACTGGGAAACAAGACAGCGTACAGGAAGGAGCCTTAGAAAGCAGGCTGTCATTAATGTCCACACGGAGGTAAGAGAAAATATCGCAAACGTGAGGCAAGAACAGGAAGCTCTAAAAAAAAGCCACCAAAAGGAGCATTCAAAGATCCAAAAAGAGAACTCTCGTATATCTATTAAAAAAAGCAGAAATAAGAAAATCAGTTAGTGGGTGAAAGATAAAGTTGAGGAACTCCCTCAGAAAGTAGAACAGAAAAGCAAGGAGGTGGCACATGAGAGAAAAAAGAAACGGAAGGGATCAGATGAGGAAGTCGGCAGCTGAATAGTAACAGTTTCAAAGCTGAGGTGAGAGGATCGCTTGAGGCCAGGAGTTCAAGACCAGCCTGGGCAACATAGCAAGACCCCATCTCTACAACAAAATTTAAAAATTAGCCAGGTGTGGTGGTGTGCACCTGTAGTCCCAGCTACTTGGGAGGCTGAGGTGGGAGGATCACTTGAACCCAGGAGTTTGAGGCTGCAGTGAGCTGTGATCATGCCACTGCGATCCAGCCTGGGTAACAGAGCAAGACCCCGTCTCTAAAAAATAAAATACTTTTTTAGGCCGGGCGCGGTGGCTCAAGCCTGTAATCCCAGCACTTTGGGAGGCCGAGACGGGCGGATCACGAGGTCAGGAGATCGAGACCATCCTGGCTAACACGGTGAAACCCCGTCTCTACTAAAAAAAATTACAAAAAACTAGCCGGGTGACGTGGCGGGCGCCTGTAGTCCCAGCTACTCGGGAGGCTGAGGCAGGAGAATGGCGTGAACCCGGGAGGCGGAGCTTGCAGTGAGCCAAGATCGCGCCACTGCACTCCAGCCTGGGAGACAGAGCGAGACTCTGCCTCAAAAAAAAAAAAAAAAAAAAAAAAAACTTTTTTAAAAGTTTCCGCAAGAAAACAATAGGGAAAACAGGATGAAATTCACAAAATAATTTCCTAAAACCCAAAGTTTCTGGGTTAAAGAGGCTGGGTGTGGTAGCTCATGCCTGTAATCCCAGCAATTTGGGAGGTAGGAGGATCACTGAGGTCAGGAGTTCGAGACCAGCCTGACCATCATGATGAAACCCCATCTCTACTAAAAATACAAAAATTAGCCAAGCATGATGGTGGGTGCCTGTAATCCCATACTTAGGAGGCTGAGGCAGGAGAATTGCTTGAACCCAGGAGGCAGAGGTTGCAGTGAGCCCAGATCGTGC